AGGGTAGTGAAATTGCTAGGAGAATTAACGATATACGAAGTGGGCGTGAAAATGATGCGATTCAGAATTCTATCGGCACTTTAAAAGAATTGATTAATAAAGAGAAGAGTGGGGATTTAGAGACACTTCGCTCAGATTTGAATAGGCTTCAAGATCTAATTCCGGTCACAGAGGAAGGAAAAACACATGCCAATAGGCAATTAACCTCCGCCGAAATAGAAGCTTATAGGCAAAATAAAAAAGCAGCCGATGAGAAAGAGTTGGAACTACGCAAAGAAATTTTCAGAAAAGAAGAGCCATCTCTAGGAGAGGAAAGGTGAAGTAAAATTAATAAGGTAAACAACAGAGATGAACTTTTAAAGATAGAAAGACAAATTATTTATGAACGCAACATAGAGAAAATACTGGAAAGTTGTAAAGAAAGATTGGAAGACAAGAATATCACAAAGGATGAATTATTAATAATAATTAGTAGTCTAAAGAGAAACGATAAATCTAACAGTGAAGGAGAATGAGGAAAAATTTTTCGAAGCAAAGGGAAAGAAATAAAAAAAGTGATAAGGAGTTTAAAAAAGAAAATTGCTGAATTTAAATTTGCTGAATACATTGAAATAATTAATGGGGAAAATGATTTGCTAGCGATAGATAAAATAAAAGAGGATTGAAGTAATTACTTGATGCAAGAAGGGTTGATTGATAATCGAGATATGCCAGAGGGAAGAAGGATCAAAGATTTAGTAGAGGTAATAGAAAGGAGAAAAAAAGAGATAGTAGAACGAAAACCTTCCCAAAAAAAATCCGAAGCAGAAAAGTTGAATAAAATTGGAAAAGAAGCAGTTTTTTTTCAAAAACAATTAGCAGAAAGAGACATTGTTTTAGAAGAGGATGGTTGGACAAATAAGGTTTTAGAAATTATTGATGAGAAAAAAGCGCTGGAGGAAAAAGTTAAGCAGGCGGAGGAAATTTTAGGATTACAGTTGAAAAATTTAGAGGAGAGCAGCCCACCTTTAACTAATCTTTCTGAAACTGTTAATTTACTACCTAAAATTGGAATAAACTTAAAAAAAGATGAAAATGGTCGAAACTACTATGATACCGAAAGTCTAAGCAATAAATTGACCGAGTTAATAAGAAAAGAGGAAGAAAATAATTCACTGCGTGAGACAATTAAAACCAAGGGAGAAGAAATAGAAAAACTTAAAAACGATTTAGATGTTGTAAAGGGGGAAAAAGAATCGTTAACTATTTTTTTTTCCAAAATGAGCAAAGATGTGGAAGATTCAAAAAAAGAAAACGAGGAGATGCAACGGCAACTCTGACAAAAAGAAAATGAACTAAAAGCCGAAAAGGAAAAAGTTGCAGCCTGGGAGAAAGGAAATAAAGAATTAACCAATTCATTAAGTAATGCTCGAAAAGAAGTTAATGGCTTGCAAATAATAATTGCTGAAAATGCTAATAGGGCAAACAAAGAAAAGCAAGAAGATTTAGAAGAAATAGCCAGAAATTTAGGAATAGAAGAACGGGAAGTGAAAGACAAGCCAGTTGAAGAAATACAAAAAATTATCAAAGAAAAAGCCGAGCAACTTCAGAGGGTCAAAAATAAAGTTGAAGAATTACCAAACTTAATAAATAAAGATGGAGAGGTTAGTGATGATAAAATGTGTGAATTAAAAAAATTAATTGAAAACAGCGAAAATACTGCCAAAAGAATTAGCGAATTAGAAAGTAAAGTCAAACAAGCCCAAACCTTCGGCTTAACTAATTGAGATGACTTAACCACCCAAACCCAGAATGAAACGCTGACAAGTTTATTAAACAGACCAAAAAGCAAAGAAAAACTAGACCAAATTGATGAATTACAAAAACGACCTACCCAAGCGGATTATGACCAGGTAGTGAAAGAACGAGACCAACGCCCTAATATCAGTCTAGAAGAGTGAAATAACGATTATAGTAAACGACCTACCCAACCAGAATTAGAAGCCGCCGTATTAGCCGAACAAGAAAAGCACCAATCCACTCAAGATACTTTAAAAACTTGAACTGACAATTTTGGCACGGAAAATGCTACTGAGGCGGCTAATAAATTAAAAGATACGGCAAAAAAACTATCCGAGGCGGAAAAAGCATTGTCCGATGAACAAACTGAACATGAAAAAACTAAAACCGCCTTAACCGCTGCCAACCAGGACAAAGAGGAGGCTAACCAAATTATTGATGAGGCAAAGGAAGCATTAGGAGTGGAGGATTTAGAAGATGATTTGCTCGATAAACTAAACGGCAGTTCCCTACCAGAAATTATTGAGCAAAGAGATAAAGCCAACACCGCCAAGCTTGAGGCAGAAGCCCAACGAGACAAGGCCAACCAGGTCTTAAATAAGTGAAAAGAAAAGTTCGGTGATGATATTGCGGCTGCCGAAGCAGAAAAAAACCAAACCAATGCTAATCTAAATAAGGCGAACAAAATCATAGCTGAATGAAAAGAAAAGACGGGAACAACCAATCCTGAGGAGGCTAAAACTAAAATAGAAAGATTAGACCAAGCCGCTCGAGAGGCTAATGCGGCTCAAGCCAAAGTTGAAGCCGAGAAAACTGTCGCTGAAAGAGAACGAGACACTCACAAAACCAACTTAGATAAATGAGCCAATGAGTTTGGCACGGACCAGGCAGCCACTGCCAAAACTAGATTAGACCAAGCCGAAAAAAACCGCGATACCTACCTAGAAGAATTAAATAAAGCACGAGATAAATCAAAAAATCTTATCGACTCCAAAGTTTTAGAGCAGAAAATAAAAGAGATGCAAACTAAATATGAAGGATTTATTAACCCTAAAAATATTACCCTGGTCGACCAAAATACTTTAAGGGGAGTTGGTTATGTTCCCGCTACTGATTATCAAGGCTGAATTGACCCTAACCATGAAAAGGCTCGCCAGCAAGCCGGATTAAAAACTGAGGACGAAGTAAATGCGGAGTTAGATAAAATAGCTCACCAATTAGGTTTAGGTAACCATAATGATTTAACCGATAGTAATTTAGCAAATCTTCAAGCCGCAGAAAAAGAAAGAGATAATGCCCGCCGTTCCTTACGAACCGATAATCTAAATACTCTTCTGCCAATACCCGCCGGTGAAACCCTTCAAACTTTACTGGATCGACCCACTCAACAACAATTAGTTGAAGCGGTTAACCAGGCTCGCCAGCAAGAGGCTGAAAAGTATACCAATCATATTGACCCCCATAATTTGGAAGCGGAAGCTGAAAAGGCTGGTTTTGGCTTTACTCAGCAAGATATTGATGAGGCAGTTAAGGCCGAAAAGGAAAAATGAACTAGTTATGTTGACCCCGCAACTTATCGGGCTGATTGAATTGATCCTGAGGAGTATAAAAAAACAGAAGCAGCACTCACTAATGCTAACAATACCATCGTGACTGCCCAAAAACAGTTAGAAAATTTACAAAACCAGTTAGCAACTAAATTAGGGGTTGACTTTGCTAATTGAGAAAAGCAAATAGACAATTGACAAAAAGATTTAGCCCGCATTCCAGGTTTGGAGGGAAATCAAAAGCCAGACAACCTACCAGAGGATTGACAACAACAAATAGCCGACAAGAATAGATATTTACAAGAAAGAAACGCCCGCCCTGATATCACCCTTGAAACTTGAAATGATTACAAAAATAGACCAACTTTGGAACAGTATAATAGTCGTCCCAACGTCACTGTTGAGGATTATAATCATCTTTTAAATAATCAAAAACCGGGTGATTACGATGACATTAAAAACGAACTGGAAAGGTGAAAAAATGGTGTGGGAGGTAAAGATTTACAACAAGTTCAAAATGAACTAAATAGAATACCCGAATTAGAAAAAAGACCGGATATTCCGATTACTAAACAGGACTGGGAAAATGATTATAGACAAAGACCGACCCCAGAACAGTTAACCCAAGCAGTTCAGAAAGAAAAAGATAAATATTCAACTCATATTTCTCCGGAAAAATTAACCACTGATTACGTAGCCAAAGATAAATTAGAGGAAGAAGCAAAAAAACAAGGAATGGTTTCGAAAGAGGATTATGATAAGATAGTTAGGGAAAAGAATGCCCGCCCTGACATTACCAAAGCAGACTGGAATAATGATTACAGCAAACGACCAAAGCAAACCGATTTAGACCAGGCCAACAAGAAAATTCAAGATTATGAAAATGATTTAAAAATTAGGTTAGGGTTGGATGATAATACCCTTCCTAATTGAAGAGATGAAATAGATAGGTTGAAAAATCGTCCTACTTCGGACAACTCTGGCGAAATTAAGGCCATTTTAGGATTAGGCTCTACGGATAATTTACCAAATGATTGGCAAAATCAATTAGTCAAAAAAGATGACTTAGTAACCGTCCAAGATAATTTAAAAGAGTGAACCGAGAAATTTGGTGATAAAACTGCTGACCAGGTGAAAAAAGAAAATGAAAAGGCAAAAACGGCCGATGATTTACAGAGGGAACTGGATAATTGAAAGAAAGCATTTCTAAATAAAACCCCAGAAAAGGCAGCCCAAGAACTAGCCGACATGGAAAAGGAATTAAAGTCCAAAACAGCAGACACAACTCTTATTGCCAAAAAGCAGCAGAAAATTGATGAATTAATAAAATTAATAGAAGGTCTAAACAAAATTGTTGAAAAATATGGTAAAAAGTTGGACACAGATGGAATGATAGAGTTCGACAGTTGAAAAAACGAAATTGTAGTCTTACCGAAAGACTAAAAAACAATCAAGAGACACAAAAAAGTACATTTACAATAAATAAACATATGAACGTAAACACATATATAAACGAAGCAAATTTTCCCAAAGACACGACAACCGAAATAACAAACGATTTATTGAGGACAAAGGCAGGTTTGCCACCGGCTACTAAACTTAAAGGTAAGTTAGAAATTAAGAACTATCCAAATTTAACGAATATTGAAATTAGAGATCATGAATTAGAGGAAGCGATTGTTATTAATTGTCCAAATTTGAAAACAATTAATTTGTTTAAAAATAAAATTAAAAAAATAGATCTCACAAGAATAAAAACTACTGATGACAGTGATACCGGCGGTTCGGCTCCAGCCGAAAAATTAAAAGAAGTTACGGTTGGGAATAATGTTGACCTTGAAGAAGTTTCATTGGAATACTGTCCAAACCTAGAAATTTTTTCTGCTCCAAAAAACAGCAAGTTGGACAAAGTTTTTGGACTAGATAAATTAAATAAACTTAAACGTGCTGTGATTGACGAAGGTTTAGTTAGGTATATTTTTCCTGAAAAATTAAATTATCTTAAAGATGTAGTAAAAAATGTTCGGGAAATATTAGGTTTAGGTGAGAATGACCCTTTGCCCTTGGAAACTTATAAAGATAGTGCTGGTAAAAATAGACAAAGGATAAATAAAAATGGCTTAAAAACTGGATTACAAGATGCAGTAGTCAATGATAAGTCTCCACAATTAAAAGCTGACAAAGAAAACGCTGAAAAAGAACGAGATGCAGCCAAGGCTGAGTTGGAAAGCACTAAAACTGAATGCGACCAGTTAAAACAGCAACTGGAAAAGATAAGAAAAGAATTAGGTTTAGGAAAAGATGCCACTGAGCAACAAACTTTAGACAAAATAAAAGAGTTAATGAAAAGACCAAGTGGTCCGGCTTGCACTCATACTGATTATGATGATATAAAGGCTGAACGAGACAGATTAAAAACCGAAAATACTAAACTAAAGGATAAAAATAAAGAGAATGCAGATATAGATGTAATTACTAAGAAAGTTTTGACAGAAAAAACCCACGAACTTTTTAGTAAATTAAATATTTCCAGTGCCAATAAATCAGAAATCAGTAATGCTATCTCGACACATGAAGTTGAAGAAGTTAGAAGTAAAATACTCGGGAGTGAATTTAATAGACTAAAGGATGAAAATGCTAGTTCTTTTTACCTCAATATCGGTTTAGGGACTTTATCAATTGGTAGTCTGCTGCTCTTATTTTGAGTGCTGATGAGACAAACTAATTTACCAGAGACGAAGCCAAAGAAGGAAAAAAAAGAAAAATAAGTAGTTGAAAAGCGAGGGGTCAGTAATGGCGACCCCCTCCTAATATCTAATTTAGTTAAATTAATAATTTGGTTAGATATTAGTCATAACCTTTCAAGGTTGGCACAATAAAAAACATTTTCGAAGTTAAAAATGATGAATAATTATAAACCCCAAATTAATATAAAACCACTCATTTCTACCCGCAACTTCTTGGCCGAAATCATTCAGAATGCCCGGAATGATTATGAAAAAGCCGGAGCCATCCAAGCCTTTGAAGTCTGTTATGAATTAGCCAAAAACACCCTAAGAAAGGTATTATTGCTACGGGCTCAGCAAGAAGTTCCCATCACTCCTAAAGAAGTATTTCGGTTGGCCGGTTTAGAAGGTCTAATTCCGGATGCCGAAATCTGGTTTGAATTTGCCAAAAAAAGAAATAAAACCAGTCATACTTATGACGGAGAGGTGGCAGAGGAAATTTTATTATCCTTACCTGATTTTCTTTGCGGATTAGATTTATTAATTGCTAAACTAAAAGAATTGCCTGAATGCTACTACAACTCGAACCCCGACATTACCAAATAATCCAGCAAATACTAAGTAAATATCCTTATCAGTTTTATGCTTATGGCTCCCGAGCCAAAGGAATTGCTCGCAAGTTGTCGGACCTTGAT